CTGTATATGATAACTATTGTGTTTCTGAGTTTGATACAAAAGCTTGGTTATGCTGTAGTGGATTTTTTTTCATGTTAGTCTGAGAAAGTACTGCTAGTTTTGTAAACTTACAAATCTTACATGGAACTTGATTACAAGGAAATAAGCATTATATATATGATTCTATGGCATGGCTTTATAATTGACTTTACTTTGAACATAGATATTTCTAAGATTTTTTTTTCTTTTGGAAGGAAGCAACAGAAATTTCAGAAAAAATTTAGATGCTTTACACATTCACTGAACTGAATCATTTTTGAGTTTTGGACAATATATTAAGTTTCTTTGGGTCAGACTGGTAAAGGGCAAGAACATATAAGATTTTGTCAGTCTTTCAGTTTGTTTTCCTCTTTCAGAAGCTTTATAACCTCTTTCTTTCATAGATATTTTTAATGTCTCTTTCGTAATCACTAGTGTTTGTGCATATCTCTAATGGAAAGGGCTTAATTGACTATATATATTTCATTTGTACAGTTTTTTTTTTTTACAAGTAAGTATGTAGAAAGTCATCTTTTGAGGATACAATGACATCAAGAAAATGTATTTGTAATGGAGAATATTCAAGTGCAAAGTTTTTAGCTGTTAGAAATAATTTGCATATGAAAAAAGTCTTTGAGGGATTGAACATTGACAATTCAAATGAGAAACATCAATGTATCATTTCTAGAAGTGTGGTTTAACAAAACATTTTTCAGGAATTTATTATTAATCTCATCCACAAAGAATTTGGCAAAGCTGGAGGCCATTTTAGTGCCTGTACCAGTGCCATTAATTTGAATGTAGTGTTTTTTGCTGATTTCAAAATGATTTATGGTTGGAACAAGTGTGGCTAAGTCAATTACTTTATTTAGTTCTGGGTTTGAAAACATTTAACGATTATTAGTGTACAGGGATGAAATGTCCATAGTGCAAAGAAGGTTGTTAGGAGGCAGTAGACCATGAATTGTTGGGTTTATGAATTTTAGGATTTGATAAAATCTCCTGAGGCAGGTTTATTTGGGCATTAAGTATTCAAAAGTACTGTATTTCTAATCAGCTGGGGTGGTCTGAAGGAGCTGTTTAGTTTATCATTAATGTTCTGCGAATTCAATAGTTGGATCATAAGTGGATACAAAAGAAAAACTGTGTTACTGAGTTGTTACTAATCTCCTGTGATGTAGTCCTTTTTTTTTTATATAAAGTATGACATTTTTCAGCAGGTTTCCTAATAATTGTAAAAATTTGACTTTAAATGTGATACTTTCTTTAGGGTTGAGATTATTGTTAATATGGTAAGAGGAGTTCAGTAATTCTCAGTGACTTTAATGTAAGTTTATAAAACGTGGTTGGCTGTTGGTGATTCTCCCACTGGCACAGCAGTATGTCTGTAGACTTACAACGCTAGAAACCGGATTTCGATACATGTGATGGGCAGAGCACAGATAACCCATTGTGTAGCTTTGTGCTTAACTTTACACAAACAAACAGTTGGTGACACTTTTTTTATGAAGAATTCACAAAGTCTGAATTTTCATAATAATTTGTGTAGTTCAGAAGTAAATTTAGCTTCATTAACAAAGTTATTGATGGGACAGAATTTAGCCCTTTACTGGGAAGACTGGTTTCAGCATCAGAGTCATGTTTGAGAAATTAATGATGTTTTTGGGTACTGTGGTATGCATGTATTACAGCATTCGTAAGGTAATTAATTTTGTTAGGAAGACAGGAAGATAAATGATATTCTATATCGTTATTGGATGGATAAATATTCATATTAGTAATTTCAGAGTTTGAAGGTATTTGCTGTTTAGGATGATGGTAGATTTGAAGTATAGGCTATTTTCCCACCAAAGATGACACTTATTAGTGTCATCAGTCTATTGTCACAATTTGGTGCTTGTGTTATGTCGTTTTCATAACATGACATTTACATTTGTGAGTGGTCACAGGTACTACGTTTTCTTGGAGACGTTTTGAAGATATAACTGAGACGTCATATGTAACGCTCACTAGGTGGCAGCACAAGCTATATACATTACAGAGCGACTTCTCTTTCCTGATCTGATGCATG